GAATAGAATAAACAAAGAAAGGAAGAGGAAGCAAGGAAGACAAGACGAACAAGGAAAGCGAATGGTAAAGAAGAAAGGAAAACGGCAAGAGAATGGTAAGAGAGGCCAACAAGGAAAGAAAAAACAAGGAAGACAAGACAAACGGCAAGAAAAGCGAATGGTGAGGGAAGCCAACAAAAAAAGAAGAATAGAACAAACGAATAACAGAAGAAGAAGCAAGAAAGACAAGACGAACAAGGAAAGCGAATGGTGAAAAAGGAAGGTGAATAGTAAGAATAATAAGGAGGCGAACAAAGAAAAAAGAAAACGAACGGCAAGGGAAATGAACAAAGAAATAAAGCGAACGAACAACGGGAGAAGCAAATGACAAGGAAGAAAGGAAAATGGCAAAAGAATGGTGAGGGAGGCCAACAAAAAAAGAAGAAGCAAGAAGACAAGACGAACGGCAAGAAAAGCATATGATGAGGAAGGGAAATTAACAAGGAAAGGAGAATAGAACAACAAGGAAAACAAAACGAATGGCAAGGAAAGTGAATGGCGAAGAAGGAAGGTGAATGGTAAGAGAATAATAAGGAGGCGAACAAAAAAAATAGAAAACAAACGGCAAGGGAGGCAAATGATAAGGAAAAGAAGCGAACAAAGAAATAAGAAAGCGAACGAACAATGGGAGAAACAAATGACAAAGAAAGAAGAAAAACGGCAAGAGAATAGTAAGGGAGGCCAACAAGGAAAGAAGCAAGGAAAACAAGACGAATGGCAAGGAAAACGAATGACGAAGCCAGAAGAAGAAGCAAGGAAAACAAAACGAACAAGGAAAGCGAATAGTGAAAAAGGAAGACAAATGGTAAAAGAATAGTAAGGAGGCGAACAAAGAAAAAAGAAAACGAACGGTAAGGGAGGTAAATGGTAAGGAAAAGAGGCAAACGAACAACAGGAGAAGCGAATGACAAGAAAGGAAGGAAAACGGCAAAAGAATGGTGAGGGAGGCCAACAAGAAAAGAAGAAATAAAGAAGACAAAACAAACAGCAAGAAAAACGAATGGTGAGGGAGGCCAACAAGGAAAGAAGAATAGAACGAACGAATAACAGAAGAAGAAGCAAGATAAAACAAACGACAAGAAAGCGAATGGTGAAAAAAAAAGGCGAATGGTAAAAAAATGGTGCGGAGGCGAACAAAGAAAAAAGAAAACGAACGGCAAGGGAGGTAAATGAACAACGAGGGAAGCGAATGCCAAGGAAGGAAGGAAAACGGCAAGAGAATGGTGAAGGAGGCCAACAAGAAAAGAAGAAACAAGGAAGACAAAACGAACGGCAAAAAAAGAAAAAACAAGGAAGACAAGACGAACGGCAAGGAAAGCGAATAGTAATAGAATGGTGAAGAGGCGAACAAAGAAAAAAGAAAACGAATGGAAAAGAAGCGAACGAACAACAGGAGAAATAAATGGCAAGGAAGGAAGAAAAACGGCAAGAGAATGGTAAGAGAAATCAACAAGGAAAGAAGAAGCAAGGAAGACAAAATGGACAGCAAGGGAGGCGAATGGTAAGAAAGGCGAATGGTATGAGAATAGTAAGGAAGGCGAATGGAGAAGGTAAAATAGAAATGTATAAGGAGGGAGAAATGAATGGTAAATTTAAAAGTGAGAGAAACAAACGAAGAAATTAAAGGAAAATAAATAAATGTAGGGATAGAC